TATGGTGAAGTACTTTTTCACTACCTGATCCAGTGGCGTTCCCAGACAAAAGCCCCCCCCGTCGAATATCGGGAGCGGGGAGGAATCTAGACGAAAGGTTTATGCATTTTGACACCTCATTGTTTTTTTTCCTCAAAAGCTCCTAGTTTTCCATGATGAAAATTCATCTAAAAAAACCCTTCTGTCTTTTGTAGTATTTTGTGATTTACATTACCCTGAGATCTACCCCTGGGAGTCTGGAAATTGTCTCCTTTATGTCTCTTTTTTTATATTTTACATGCTTTTCTTTTCATGGCTGACTTAGGTGTTCCTTTTTCACCTTTTTTAAAGTGTTTAGCATTGTGTATGTATGTAATGTTCCTCATCATATGTGTACATGGTTATGAAGAGAACTATCATAACCGGGGTTTCTTTATAGCCGCTAACAGAAAATTTTGTAGCCGAGAGCCTGTATTTATATGGTTTTCCTGAATGCAGATAACATCAATCATTTGTTCATAGATGAAATTTTGCAGTTCGAGCTTTTTCATCATGACCTCTTCTGCATTCCATTGCATTTTACTCTTCTTAATCCTGGTCCGCCAATGCGCAGAGCTACCATCAGTAGTTTGGGGTGGATTCCTTCGAGGCTCGGAATCCGGTGCTGTTCCAGCCTGGCCGTAGTCCACAGGAGCAGCCCCATAAGGTATCTAAGGATACTCCTTAACCGTAGCTTGCATTAATGTCCGACATGCCCGCCTTCAGTGGGGAAAGTAACGAAGTCTCCTGATCCGTGTCCTAGTTCATCCAAGCACTGCCTGCCAGAAATCAGAAGTTGTGGGAGTTTCACTTCACCGCCTATAATTATCCAAAGTATGCTCCCTGTCTATAACATTGGTGAGGAACGGGACATGTCTGAGCGTTGGTGGGCTCGACATCGACCGCACCTTACCAGGAGAGGGGAAAGGAGCGGGGGTAGGGGGGGGAGGGACACTCTGTCTGATTACCCCAGCCATAGCCTAGTATTTTACCTCTTCGTGTATCGGGGGTCCATTTTGTTTTGAGACTCTCTATGCGCCAGAGCCGTGTCTCATGCAACAGGTGGCACCACGTGTAGGTAAAGTTGACTTGATTGGCAGAGGCTATGAGTTCCGCGCAGGCGTTTCCCATTTTTTGTGTGGGACCTGTACAAATCAGTCCTTGCTGTTCTGACGAAGACAATAAACTAAACATTGGCATCAATAAACAAAAATTAAAACAATATAAATACCCTAATAAGCCATGTACACAAGAAATTTTATTATTTTTAAATCATGAATATAACAAGGTCTTAACTGTTTTTGACATATTATTGATACGAACAGACACTTTGATGGATCAGTATACATATTTTAACATTTTACACCCATCCTTCCTCTGCGGGTTACGGGGTCTACCTTGAGGGGGAGGAGACCCACTGCCCTCGTTAAGCATGTCGTAAGAGTGGACTAATTATGGGTATTTCCTTCGAAGTCGTTGTGCATCTGCCTGAGAGGTGAAGAACTAATAGTCCGCATACAAAAAAGACAGATCTGTAAAATGGTTGTGAAGGCAAAACTCGAGTTCTGGAAAAACTCAAGTGGAAGAACAGACTTAACTTTCCGCCAGAGTTTACAGCCGGTGAACGTTATAAAGAGAACGCTCTGACAGTAGAGGATGGAGTCGAGAGAACTTCATATCCTGATACTGAGTCAAGCCAGAGACCCACACAGATATTCTAGACATCTTAACATCATGGCATAGAGGCAATGTGTTGACAGAACGAGTTATTCTAGATATCTTAACATCATGGCATAGAGGCAATGTGTTGACAGAACGAGTTATTCTAGACATCCCAACATCATGGCATAGAGGCAATGTGTTGACAGAACGAGTTATTCTAGACATCCCAACAGCGTGGCACAAAGGCAATACAGTGACAAAAAGAGTTATTCTAGACATCCCAATAGCGTGGCATAGAGGCGATGTAGTGAGAGAAAGAGTTATTCTAGACATTCCAAAAGCGTGTTAGAGAGGCCATATAGTGACTGAAAGAGTTATTCTAGACACCCCAAAAGCGTGGAACAGCGTGGCACAGAGATATAGTATTCTGGACTAGATGCTTCCTGACATAGAAAGGACACAGTGTGAGATATACAGAGATATTCTAGACAGCTTAACATCGAAGCATTATAAATATGTATTAGAAATTACTGGCACACGCGAGATACGAGACTATGGCAAACCTGGTGACCAGCGTCTTGTCTGTTTGGCTACAGTAAAACTGTTTTAGTGTGGAAAGCATTCCACAGATGTACAGAACATGTCCTTAATATATCGTTCATCCAAAACAACGTTCTTGAAAGCCTTTCCAACAGGAACTTGTCCTGCTTTGTGCCTCGACAAGACATATTGACATTCCCCTGGCCACTTTTCTTGATATTTAATATCCAACAATTTGCAACTTCTCTACATATTGCCTAAATGTTATAATATTAGTGTATTTTCTCAATTGTATGTAGATATTTCGATATTTTTAAAACCAGTTTCATTGCGTGTACAATTATTTCACATTATTGTAACTTGTGAAAAACTCATATTTTACAAGACCTGAATTGTAAATTATGTTAATATTTCACAATGTATCCGAAAATATCTGCAAGTGGTGATGTTACGTTATGTCTAGTTAACTAGTCGCAGGTATGTGTGATGTGTATGTATGTGCGATGTGTATGTATGTCATTCATGCCTGTTATTTATGCCTGTCTGTGTGGTGTATGCTGTTCTCCTAGTGACACTAGGATAAAAGTTTACGCTATAGAGGTTTCTTTAAATAAATCAACGCCCAGACTTCCACAGTTGTGTGAATGTTCCCACAAGTTATCCCCCTTCCCCCCTCTTTCATCGTCTAGTTCGCATGCTATAGCCAGGAACCATAATACAATCTAGCTGGTTAAGGGCGCATTAGTACTGGATATTAGTTCCCTATCGATTCAGCAATCTGAGTCTCTGGGTCTGGTCGGGCGGTGTCATTCAATATCTCAAGATTAGTGTTGAGAAGCGTCTGTGTCAATGCAATACCCTGTCTAGAGTTGCCTCGTTCTTGAGATCAATCACTGAGCTTGTCTGCATTAAGGTAGCGACTCAAACATATTCGACAAATATGACAGGCCCGCCTTATTTCTTGTCCGATTCGATCAACGTGATATGTGGTCATGGGATGTAGTGAACAGCTAGCGAAGTAATTGTATAGGGTTGATCACTTAGTTTAGTATCCATATATACTGACCACCTAGCGCAGTAACCTTGTATCTTCTTCTTTTTCTGCGTTCATCCGAAGATGTAATTGAGTTGTGTCCGTTGACAGCATGGCTGCGATATTTGCACCTGTCGGCCAACACATCCGACTTCTGCGGGGTAACCTTGTATAGTATAGTACCTTTATATAGTGGTCACCTAGTGTAACGGAAGTAGAGTAAAGGCCCCTTTTAAGCGTTTTTTGGTATATAGGGCTAGACCTATATTGTTTAGACACTTGGAGGGTGTTGTGGTCAGAATCATGCCGACTGCTTTTACTTTCCAGGACTGCACCTGGTACCCACTAAGACCTGGATCGACCAAGGTCATTTTCAACTAAATCTATATATAATATACTGATCACCTGCTGTAGCAGCATTATATAGTGTTCACCTAGAGTAGTAACTCTATACACTGATCACCTGCTATAGTAGCTTTATTGAAGGGTCACCTAGAGTTGTAACTCTATACACTGATCACCTGCTATAGTAGCTTTATTGAAGGGTCACCTAGAGTAGTAACTCTATACACTGATCACCTGCTATAGTAGCTTTATTGAAGGGTCACCTAGAGTAGTAACTCTATACACTGATCACCTGCTATAGTAGCTTTATTGAAGGGTCACCTAGTGTAGTAACTCTATACACTGATCACCTGCTATAGTAGCTTTATTGAAGGGTAGTAGCATTATTTGTGGTGATCTGGTAGTCTTAGTTTCAGCTTTATAGCAAACGGGTCACCCCATAGTTGCTCCGTTCCTGTGCCAACGAAAAACACACAGAATGTTTATCACAGTCCCTTGTAAATAGATTACAGACTGCTCCCTAGCATATACACTAGCATACACACGCATCAAAAGTATACGGTATCCATCCGAAGCGCTAACACAAACAGTCTGACATTAGAAATGCAGTTTATCATGGACGGTAGCACTAGAAGAAGTCACCAAAAGATCAGCAGTTGCACACGCGATCAATCTTAATCAAATAATGGCACCACCAATATTGCGACAACCGGCATCACGCCATTTTCTGAATCTTCAATTCACACCACCACGTTGGTCATAGTCAGAAATTATTCCAAATGAAATCCGCAGCTCGCAGTGTCACGCTATGCACTCAGCTCAGAAGCTGGGGAACGAAACTATATCCTTTCAGTCTACAAATGGAGCAAAAATGCAACGGCCACGCTCTGGCAGAAGCAAAAAAATTTGCCATGGCTCAAAACAGTGGCCGTACCTAGCGTCCATTTTGACCGGAAGTGTGCCAACAGCATTAAATAATAGTCACATTGTGTAGTAACTCAATATACTGATTACCTGCTGTAGTAGCTTTACTGAAGGGTCACATAGCGTAGTAACTGTAAATAGTGTACACCAAGTGTCGTTATATTCTTAAGCCTTCTGTAGTTTCAGAAATAAGAAACTCTAGAACTTACGTCGCCCATTCCATTAATGCGTGGTCTAGAAAATATATCGCCATCATAGCTTTCTATTCGAATTTAAAATTGTATGTTTTGATCAATTTGGTGCAGCAGATATTTGCTGCCAGTTTTCTAAGTGCAAAAGCCTGTGTTGCTGTAGGACGACTGAAGGTGATGTTATTAAATGACTGTGACCGCTTAGATGACCGCTTAGCAAATACGCGTTAAACAGCCCACTGGAATTTTCGACTAGGACATCATGTCGGACCAGTGAACCCTCCAGGATTCAAGGAGATTTAACTGACCCTAGGGTGAACCAAGGCCGTTTTCGAGGTGTTCGTTGGCAGAGACCATGTGACCCAGAGACGTTGTTTTTGACCTCAAGGTTGTTTGTGACTGGTTTAAGTTAGTGGCACAGTTCGGGGAAATGATAGTTATGTTTGATTAAGAATAGATAGTTTACTTGTTGTTTTTTTTTTTTTTTTTTTTATTATTATTTTTACATAGAGATGGTGCAAGCGTGATTGAAATTATTTCTTTTAATTCTTGATTTCGCTTTTAAAAAATGCTCTTAAATAGACCTAACTTTATTGAGAGTGTTCACTTAATTACTGATAACGCTACAGAGATATTCTCTGAAAGATTCTTATCGGTACTGAGATATTAGCTGAATCATTGACAGCACTACCACGTAGCATGTATGTTAGTGAAGTCGTTCAAAAAGAGCTTTTGTCAGTTTAAGAAGAAGAATATGATGATATCGAGGGCACTGTATTCAGGTGACACGGCACGATGACGTGATCTGTCCAATCATACCGACTAGAGCTCGTGGTGGTGTAGCTTGGAGAAGCATAGAAAGAGCTTGGATCGGAGACTATTGGTTCAGACCCAGTTAATGCATTAAATAACTGGATGGACAGTTACTGATTTGCTATTTTAAAGCACTCCAGCCGGTTTGGAAATTGTTTAAATTCGAACCACCTGTGGGGCTGACTGTTATCGTTTTGTGTAACTAGATTAAAAGCCGATGTCTGTGCGTTCTGCAACGTCGAGTTGGTTTGTGTTTAGAATAAATATCATTGTCATAGAACTGCCAGTGAGCCGTTGAAATTAAGACGATAAGTAGGTTTGTGTCATAAGGCTTACTACAAACCTCTTTTTTTTTTACCCCCCCCCCCCTATTCACCTATTTTCGGCCTCTATTATTTTGTTTTTTTCCCCCACAATGAATAAATTTCCTTTTCAATATCCTTTTAAATATGCCCTATAAATATCCACCCCCCCCCCCTTTTTTTCCCGTATTGTTTACCTTAGAAGCCTTGTTACACTTTACATCTGGCTTACTGTTATTTTCCTCTCTGTCCATGATATTCATAGCTGTCACAGGGAGACGTCATCACTGTCACAGGGAGACGTCATCACCTGTATTTTAGGAGGTAGGATTTTGCGTATAGCAAAGATGTGCCAGGACCAACAAGTTTTGGTAGCCTTGACATTCCCTTTTCTATAACTTTAATTTCCCGCCAAAAATAACTATTGACGTCATCACTCACAAGATACATGGATCAATGGTCAACAGAGAAACATAAGGTAGGAACACTATTGAGATGTTAGAGTCGACGATCAAGCCGTTAGTACCAAACAGTACTAGAAGCCAGGTGGCATTTACAGACACTAGAACCAAAGACTAGAGATGAAGAAAGCAACGCGAACTTAGAGTATGTAACCGTAGAGAGAACAGAGCAATTTTCAGATTATAATTGATGTTGCTTGTGACATTGCTGAGGTATCACAATTAAGACAGTATAGTTAGTTAGTTAGTTAGTTATTCCTCTTGTGCCAAAGATGGCGCATAGGGCAGAGGTCATAGCTTTCCACGTCTGTCGGTTCTTTGCCACTTGATGTAGGTCTTGAGTGCGACTGAGACCTATGGTTGAGCTCTCCCTTGTGATGGTTCTACGGAGAGTTTCTTTTGGTCTTCCCTGTTTTCTTTTACCCTCTGGTGACCATATGAAGGCCTGGTGGGGAAGACAGTATAGACAAGAACAATTGTTTCCAGACAATTAATATTTTAAGCATCAGAGTTACGTGAGAAGCATGCATCTAGCAAGACATCAACACCATCACTACTATCAACACGACCGTGTAACACCTCGTCTATAATCTTTCTCTAGCAAACTAAAGACGAACCTGGCTGTGAGATCGACGTACACAACGAAGAAGACGGCTGTGCTACATTATATGCTTCTCAAATAGTAAACTCCCCATGCCATCTCTTTCTTCTTGTGAGATAAGATGCCCGAGGAAAGTCTC